AATGTAGCCAATGTAGCCGTGCTTTTGGCCAATGTAGACGCGCTTTTCCACAAAAGAGCCCCGATCGCCATTTTCGCGATCGGGGCTTTTTTCCGGAAAAGACTACTGGGCTGTCTACACTGGCCCTTTTCCGGAACAGTGTTCCGGAATAAGGACTTATGCCTGAGCGGGAGCAGAATAGTTTTTCCGGAATAGCGGCTGATTTTGTACAGTAGAGCATCGTTGCTTTTCCGGAAATTCAAGGGCCAGTGTAGACAGCTCGCAGCTTATTCCGGAAAAGCGGCTGATTTTGCGGAATAAGTGGCCCAGTGTAGACACAGCCTTGCTGTTACATCCCTTCCAAAAGGAGAAGAAAATCTTCCTGGCCACTTGTCAGCTAATTTATCTCCTTGCAGGGTCTTTGCCTGCCTTAAATGGTCACAGATCCTAAAACTGGATATTTCTCATTCACACCTCACACACATTCCACAGGTTTAGACATCCATAAGTCTAAAATAAATCCAGCTTCCTAGCCTTGAATACCAAGCCGTTGCATTGTCTAACATACTAAAGATAACATACCAAGGGCATGATAAAAAAAAAAGCCTAACACAAATTGAAACTAAGAACGCCAAGGTCAGGGAAGAGGAAGAAGCAGAGGAGTGTGTCTGGTCAGCTAAACACCAGGGAAGGGGGAGGGGAGTCGTGTCCGATTGGGAACATCGGCAGCCTCTCCAGTTCCCTCATTCCTCTAACTGGGGAAATGCAGGTGCATACACAGAGTGAGGGAGAGAAAGTGAGTGCGTCCTAATGCTCCCCATGCAATGAGAAAAGAAAATAGACACCAGTGAAGAGGAGGGAGGGGGGTCATGTCCGACTGGTTATACCAGGCTGCGTGCAGGGCAGCAGTTTCTAACTTATTCCCACAAGGAACAGCTCAGGTGTGTGTGTGGGTGGGGGGAGCATTCCTGGACTGCTAAGAAGAGGGAGCTCCTTCTACAGCATCACTAATTTAAATGCTGATAATGATTGTCTATGAGAGGGAAAAACAACTGTGACGGGCCGGGCCGGGTCTGGGCACAGCTGAGAGCATCCACTCAGAGCAAATTGCTCAAATTCGGGGCTCCTTACTGCCCCTGAATGGAGGCCCTTCCCAAATAGCCCACAAACCAGTCACACCGAGCGCTTCAGCTGCCTACCTGGCCAGCCAGAAGCCTCACGAGCAAAACCCCTCAGATACACCAGCTGTGTCTAGACTGGCAAGTTTTTCCGCAAAATCAGCTGCTTTTGCGGAAAAACTTGCCAGCTGTCTACACTGGCCGCTTGAATTTCTGCAAGAACACTGACTTCCTACTGTAAGAAATCAGTGCTTCTTGTGGAAATACTATGCAAAAGTCCTTTTGCGCAAAGCTTTTGCGCAAAAGGGCCAGTGTAGACAGCTCTGATTTGTTTTGTGCAAAAAAGCCTCGATGGTGAAAATGGCGATCGGGGCTTTTTTTCACAAAAGCGCATCTAGATTGGCACGGACGCTTTTCCACAAAAAGTGCTTTTGCGGAAAAGTGTCAGTGCCAATCTAGATGCTCTTTTCCGCAAATGCTTTTAACGGAAAAGTTTTCCATTAAAAGCATTTGCGGAAAATCATGCCAGTCTAGACGTAGCCACAAGCTCTTCCTATGCCTCAATCAGCCCCGGGCCTAACACACAGGTGAGGGGTTATAGAACCCAATCTCACCTACCCCGAACGGGTTCTTCCTGGTCCCAGGAAACCAGCTACAATTCCCAGGTCAATTTACATTCTGGGGGTGCATCTAGACTTGCTAGCTGTCTACACTGGCCACTTGAATTTGAGCAAGAACTCTGACACTTCCACTCGGGAAAAAGCCCTCTTTCGCTTGTGTTCTTGCGCAAGAGGGCCAGTGTAGACAAGGAAGGAATTTTTTGCATAAGAAAGCCCCAATGGCGAAAATGGCTA